AAATCAGGTCCGCCCGGAGTGAGGGGTGATGGAGACGGCGACATCGTGCAATGTGGGGCGCAGACTTCGGCTGCTTTGAGAAGAGGCCGGAGCGAGTGCGTCATGCGCCGGCCCCAGGCAGCCACGGCGTGCGCCCCGAGCGGGCGAGGGAGGCGGGAAGAGCGGAGCAGAAACGCTGGGACAGAAAAAGAAAGACCAACAAAGACAAGACTGAGGAGGAATAACAAAGGGACATTCCTGCAAACACAGCAGAAACGGACAGTCCTTACCAACGCCTATGAAAAAGTCAATACGAAAACACCTTGAGGATCTTTATGCCTACAGGAAATAAAACTAACTCAAAAATCAAGACACGTAAATTAGTCCCAGAAGAATATCGGACCTTCCCTACGGGGAACACGCCTGCCCCCCGGAACAGGCAAGGACTGACCCACAGCCACCCCGGAATCAGGCCCCCGTCAGCGTGTCCAGAGGCCAGCAGAGGGGGGGATTCCGCCTCCTGATCCTGGGGCTCCTGGCACCCCGATGCAATAAGCAGCGCGAGGAGACAGGAAGAGGGCACAGCCGTCTACTGACAGGCGGCCCTGACCAACTCCGACCGAGCCCCTCAGAGGACATGCTGGGGAGCGGGTTGTTTTAGCGCTGTGCAACTGATGCAGTGTTATCAGACACCGAACAGTAGAATTTACTACGTTATCGGATCTGAGAAGAAAAGCCGAGTCTGATGGCCCAATAGGGCCTCCAGACCCAGATTCCCGCCCCACCAGGAGTGGGAGAGAACCTAACCCCGTAATGAAAATTTGCAAACCAGCCGAAGCCGGTTTGGCTCAGTGGATAGAGCTTAGGCCTGCGGACTGAAAGGTCCCAGGTTCGATTCCGGTCAAGGGCATGTACCTTGGTTGCAGGCACATCCCCAGTAGGGTGTGTGCAAGAGGCAACTGATGGATGATTCTCTCTCATCGATGTTTCTAACTCTCTATCCCTCTCTCTTCCTCTCTGTAAAAAATCAATAAAATATTTTTTTTTTAAAGAGAAAATTTGCAAACTACACAGCCAAGGCGGCTCTCCCAGCCCACCAGCGGCGCGGCCAGGACGCCTGCGGTGGCTCCCGGCTCCACACGCAGGCGCTGGGGCAGGGCCGTGGCGGTGGAAGCCACTGTGCACGGGTGGAGGAGACAACGTCACGCGTGTGCCCGTGCGTGGAGGCCCCTCCTGAGTCGCACGGACAGAGAGCTGGCGGCTGGGACGGCCACGAGAGGCTGACGGCCACGGTTCCCCACGCCTCTCTCCTGTGGATTTCACCCCGCCCCCCACGGCAGCATCGCCACCTGCAGGGCTGCGGTGCCCAGTGCTGCCCAGGGGTCAGCTATGAGGATCCCCACCTGCCGCCCTCACAGCCCCTCCTGGAAGCGCAGCAGCAGCAGCAGCAGCAGCAGCAGCAGCAGCAGCGGGGCAGAGGCCTGCGGCTCACCGCTCTCCACGGCCATGAGAAGGCGGTGACGTGTCAGGGGGACCCACCCGGGGAGCGCGCTGTCCCCGCGCTGGGTGTCCTCAGGGACAGGAGTCCCGTCGGGCGTTCCCGGTGGCCATGGCCCCCTCCCGCCGTGTTCCTGAGGTGCATACCACAGGCCGGTGGAGCCACAGGCCCCTCAGGGCCCCGTGGGCGCCCCCGAACCTGCCCCCGCGCCCTGCTGCCAACGCTTTGGAGAGAAGGCCCTGCAGGGCGAGGGGAGGGAGGGCAGTGGCCACGCACGGGGACACCTGGCCGGCCTCAGGCACAGGGAGGGGGGAGTGCGGTTAGTCTGCTTCCCAGTCCTGGCTGGCTGAGCTGGGCTGGCCTGGGGGGGGGGCTCATTATTATTTAAAGGCCTAAAAATATTGCCGGCCGTAAATCAGCCCCTGCTTCAAGGCCGCGGGCCCTGCCCCACGTGCGGGAGGAAGGAGCGGGTCTGTGCACCACCTGTGTCTGACGACAGAGGCCGGAGCTCCTGGTGGCGCCCCGGAGGGCACCTCGGGGAGGCAGGTGAGCAGCCTGGCATCGCGCGCGTCCTCGAGGCCGCAGGATCCCGATGCGGGTGACCCAGGACTCTGGCCGCCACCCCGGCCCTGGCCGGACCTGTCCTGGGCCGGGCCCCTCCGGGAAGGAGCCCTGGCCACCAGTGGCTCTCGCAGCGCATGACCTCAGGTGCCAGGAATGCGCGCGCGGCGCGGCCGCCATCTGGTTCCCATTACCCACGCTCGGCTGCGGGAAGCCTCATCTGCGTCTCCGCGCCCAGCGCCCGCCCGGGAGAGATTGATTTGGGCTCATTAGAGACTGCAGCAGCAGGCCGAAAGGTGAGGTGCATCTGTGCCCGCGTGGCTTGTGGGCCAGTGGGCAGCCACATCACAGTGCCCACCTTAGGGCCGGGCACAGCGTACCCAGGGCCCTGGGGCAAGGACGCCCGTGGATGATGAGGGCCTGGGGGCCCCCGGATGCCTCCTCCTCAGAGGCCTGAGCTGCACGGCCCGAAAGCCTCCGGTCCCAACTAGCTTTGAAGACGGTGCCCAGTTGTCCCTGGGGGAGGTGGCGTGCTCAGCGGGAGGAGCCCTCCCCAGCTGAGCGAGGCCCCGGCCCAGGCACCGCCACCACGCCAGCTACAGCCGTCCTGCAGAGCCTGCTCGCCGTCTGCTAGAACTTTCCAATTCATTAATAATGCCCTCTGCTTTAACTTTTCAATTCATCGGTACGGTAAAAGTTCATCTCTGGACTGCAACGTGCCCCATAAATTTAAGTCTTAAGTTCCAGCAGCTGTTTCTCGAGGGAGCCAGGAGAGACCAGGCAGGTCGGAGCCAGGAGGGCCCATTCCCGGGACCCGGGACCCGGGGGCACTGCAGCCTGGGCAGGGGCCTCAGAGAAGCTGCCTGAGTCTTGGGCTCTTGGAGAAGTCAGGCCGACGAAGTTCAAGGCGCAGTGGGGTGGAGCACGGGACTCCACAGTGAGTGGGTCTCTACGAGGCTCGGGGAGCCAGAGGGGAGGGAGTGAGGGAGCACCCTGCTGCCCATGGAGGGGGGAGGACTCAGGCCTCAGCAAGGCTGACTCCACTGCTGAGGACCCAGCACATGGAGATGTAGCACTGGAGTGGCTCTGCTCCCTTCTAAAGATGGCCGCCACCGCTATGACCTTCACTCCCACCCCCGGCGGGTCCACAGGGGCCCTCCTCCAGGATGAAGGCACTCGAAGCTCAGCCCCCGCTGCCTGGCCTGGACCCACTGGGAGGCCTGTCTGACCCCCTTCCTTCAGGGCCTTGTGGCTCCCTGGGGTGACAGAAGGATGGAGGGATGCTTGGACATTAGGAAGAGTGATGCCAAAGAAGCATGAACATGTGCCCTGTCCCCAAACATGACATGTGACCCCCTCCTTCTCCGGTCGTGCTGGGCTCTGACCGCTGCTCCTCCTGACCCACAGAGCTCAAGGCAGACCCTCAGGTCCCACCTGCAGAGTCCGGGCAGCCTCACACCTGGGCAGCTGGCATGGCCCTACCCTGCTGCCGCCACCCCCTGCTCTGGCTCTAACCTTGGTTCTCCAGAAAGACTGTTCTTGTTGGGATGCCAGCGGCCCCTCAGCTGTAACGTGGGGGGCACCTCCCAGTCTCACTCTGCCTGACCTCAGTGTCTATCCTCAGGCCTTTACGTCACTGCTCTCCTGGACACCCTCTCCTGTCCTGGCTGTCCTTGCTCTGTTCCTCTGGGGGTGATCTGGTGACCATGTCACACCCTCAGGTTACAGCCAGAGTGTGGTGATGCCTGCTGGATGCCACAGTGTGTTCTGATTTTCACCTGAGGCCCATCCCCCCTCCATCCCATGTGCCTGAGGGTGCCCCTTCCCTTGCTGTGGGGGTCCGGTCTGGGCGAGCATGTGGCAGGCTTGGCAGGCTGCTGGGCAAGGCTCCCCACCTGGAAAGGGACGCCGAGAGATGCCTCTTCTCTGCCCGCTCATCTCTGGTGGGAAGCCCGGACCATAGCCTTGCAGGGACAGCCTCGGACCTGCTCTCCAGCATTCCAGTGGTGAAGGCCCAGTGAGGCCAAGGGCTGGGCTGCTGCTGCCACTGCCTCCAGACCTGGGTCACAGAGCTGCCCTTCTGAGAAGCTTCTACTTGCTGGCTACGGTCAAGTCCAAGATGCCCTGGCTGATGGGGCTCCTCGCTCACCCCCAGAAGCCGGTGTGCACCCAGGTGACCCTCTGGGGGCCAGTAGGTACAGGACACACCCGGCACGTCTCCTCCCCCATGACCTGTAGCTCCTGGGACCTGCACCAGAGTGAGGCCTGGGGAGGAGGACTCCCGCCCCCAAACACCACCCCTCCATCCCTCCATCCCTCCATCCCTCCATCCCAAACAGGGCTGAGCAAGCAGGGTAGACCACCCCGTGCGGAGCGCCGGGCACGGCCCAGAGGTGGCTCCCAGGTGCTCTGCGAGGCGGGCTGGCTGGAAAAGTCCACTGGGATGTTGTGAGGGCTCCCGGGACATTAGGGGGTTGGCTTTCAGCAACTCCCCTCTCCACCCCGAGGCCTCACAGCCCTTCCCCGCTGCCCGTGAGGCGCGGCCTCCCTGGGGCTGGCTTGCAGACCGCCACCCGGGCGTGACTCCGTGGATTTCTCCACATCGGGCTGTTTTTGTTTTTTTGATTAATCAGTTCCTTGCTGACCGAATTCCTCTGAGTTTTTGCAAATGGGCTGGCGTCCTTACTCCTGGACTCTACATGCCTTTTCTCTAGATGGACAAGACGTGACTGCTATTAACCCAGGGTCCGAGGGAAACCCAAACCATGTGAACGGTTCACGGACGCCCAGGCCCCCTTCTTCCTGCGCCGGCCCCACAGACAGGCCCGCCTGCACCCCGCCTCGGAGTGATTAATTAGCCGGCGATCTGCAACAACTCCTCTTCATGCCTAAATATTGTTTCAGCCTATCAGACTGTTAGTGCAGAGCAGGATAAATGGCACCCAGGGTCTGGCGCACTGACCTGCAGGGCCTGCTGCTCATCCAGGCTCCAGACAGCCAGCGCCTTCTCCGCGGAGCCTGAGACGCCCCGGGCCTTCTGGGAGTCAAAGTCAAGGCCCATGACGGGCTCCGTGTGGCAGGCGATCCGGCTGCACACCTTCCGCTCGGAGACATCCCACAGGGCCACCGATCCGTCCTCATAGCCGGCCAGGAGGCGCGGGCGGGGGCTGGAGTCAGTCTGCGGGGAACAGAGCGGCGGTCAGCTCCCGAGGGGTCCCAGTGCGTTCTGGGGACCGGGGGCTCTGGAAACGGGCTGTTTCCCCTGCTGCCCTGGGGGCAGCCCCGCTGAGGAGCTGCTTCCCAGGGTCCTCCCCCGGCAGTGACAGTGCGGAGGCTCCACACCCCCTCCCCCCGTGGATGATGCCATTGGTACAGGACCTGTGCGGGCTGGGGTTGGGGCACCCCGGGGACCGGGACGGGAGGGCACGGAGCTTAGCACGCCCCCACCTAACACTGCAGTGCCGCTGCTTGCCAGCCCGGGTCCTGCCAGGATCACAGGGTCCTTCCCGCGGGCCTGAGACTCCCCACCGCCCGTTGGCGGGGCCGGTCACCTGTCTACAACCACCAGCCAGAGAAAATCGCGAGCTCTTTGTCAATGAAAAATGGACTTTCTGGGCTTTGTCAACGTCGCTGCGGAAGCGCGCCCCCCCTCCCCGTCCCGGGGCTGGGTGAGCCGCCTCGGCGCTGAGCTATTGTGATAAATGAGGGCACAGGTCAGAGGGCCCGCGCCCTGGGCAGACGCCTCGTTCATCTCACCTCTGTGTCGACTCCAGAGAGCACGGCAGGCCTCCGAGTCACCCTGGCACCGAGAGTGGCAGCACCAGGCGCGGTGCCCGGTCCCCAGACACTACCAACAGGAAGTGCCTCCAGGACAGGTGCCCAGGTTGCTTCCGGGACTCCTGTGTCCCATGCTTTATCTCTTCACTTGTCTCAGCAGTCCCCCCCGAATGGCCTGGAGATGGCCCCACTGGAGTGTGAGAAATCACTGAGCACATCCCCTCCAGCTCTGACCCGGCCTGGCCTTCAGCCCCGATGGTGATCGGTGAGAAAGGGGGGCTGGTCAGCAAGACTGCCTCCTGGGCCACCTGTGCCTCTGGGTTCCGAACAGCTCAACCAGTTCAGGACTACAGACGACGGACAGGGCAGCCAGAGCAGCGCCTCACCCAGCAGCTGCCAAGGGGGCCACATGCTGAGCTCCAGCCTCTACTCCCCACCTGACTGCAGGCCACTCCAGCTACTTCCCCAGCATGCAGGGTCCCGTGGGTCCCCCCAGGGACAGACTGCGGGTGGGACAGTGCTCCAGTGGCCACACCCACAGCGCCAGCTGACCTCCATGGAGTGAGGGCCTGAAGTGACTGTGAGGACCCCAGCAGGCAGGCAGGCCCTGTCCACGGCACCCCAAGGTCCTGTGGGGAGCCCCCGGCTCGGGTGGGGCCCATTGCTCTGAAGGGGGTGTGAGTAACTCTGCATGAGGCTTGACTCTGATTCTGACATTTTATGTGATAATCACCGTGACAACGCAGGTCAGCCTCCTTGAGGGATAAAACGAGACTGACTGCATCTGAAAACTTCAGGAAAAAAAATGCCACTTCAGGCCTAATAAACTGGAGTCTGAGCCTCCGTGTTTGGAGAGGAAAAAAAAGGGACATTTAAGATTAACAGAGAGTTTGCTTTTGTGTTGGATCCATATCAACTAACAAAAACGTGATTTGTCCTTCTGTCAACTATATTAATTACCTTAACAAGTTTGTACATCCCGTTTCTACACATTTTTCTGCTGGAATTTTTACACGATTACGCAATGACAGCACTTCCAGGGAGTGGAGTGTGAGCGGATGTGGCCCCTGCCGCCCTGCCCGGGGCTGTGAGCGCCACGCCACGCCCGCCCCCAGCACCACGGCCTCGGGGTATTCCCACCAAGCGTCTGCCGAGAACCTGCTGGCGCCAGGAGCTGTGTCACCCAGACGAGCGGGCCTCGGAGCCTCCCTCACCTCCTCGCCCGGGATCCGGACTTCCAGCTGGAAAGTCACTGGTTAAGGAACTCCAGGAGGAAACCAGCGGCTAGAAAGGCCAGGGAATCTTCCTGGTCCTGAGAGCGGCCAATGGCTCGGCCTGTCCCCCTGAATCCCATCGGCCATGCAATCCTCCCCACGCGGCCTGAGCCCATCGGTCTGCCTCTCAGGAAGAGTTCCAACAGGCACTGAGGCGCCCGGCAGGAACCGCCAGCTCCCGATCCTGGACGGGCACGGGGCGGCCCTCCGAAGGTCCCGGTGGACTGCAAAGAGCTGAGAAACGGCCTGAGCAGCGCTCCCGAGATGGACACTGCTCAGGCACCTGCTTCCCACGCTCTCTGCCACGGCCGAGACGCCTCCAGGATGCCTTCTAAGCGAACACGCCACCCATTTGCTTTGCTGTGCCAAACACAGTGACCCAAGGCATGGGCACGCTTACGGGGAGCCAGTGTTGACCTCTGACCTTTGGGGGGCTGTGCATCAAGGAAAGTCAGGGCCTCCGGTGAAGGTGGGCGGGTCCAGGAGAGGGGAACGGGGTGGGGAGAGGAAAGGGGAATCCTTCCTGGGAGGCGGCCAGCTCAGCTGACCCAGCTGTGCCCCCTCCCTGCATTGGCAGGGGGTGCCCCCTTCCCGCCGCCGGGCCTGCAGGGGACAGCAGAAGCCCTGTGGCAGTGGGCAGGAGCATCCCTCGAAGCACGGGGGCTGCGGGGATGGAGGCGGTGGTGGAAGCGGTGTGCGCAGGTCTCCCGAGGGGCTCACTGCCCTGTCGGTTTGACGACAAACCGAATCCTGGATGGGGCATGATTCACGGCCCGGCGGGCGTGGCTGGCAGGGCGTGGCTGGCGTGCACTGGGCCTTACCTGCCGCAGCTCCAGGCACATGGGCATGCCTGGCTTGGCATCTGCCTCTGGCTTCAGGGTGCACACTGACGTCTTGGATGGCATCTCCAGAATCTGAATCTGACAGTAAGAAAACAAGTTGATTTGGGCCGGCGCCAAGTCGAGTCTGTTCTATACAAACAAGAGACTTTTAAGGCGATTAGCTAAGACGGCTGCGGGTTTCTGTCTGCTCCCCTTCGGAGCCTGGGAGCCCAGCCTAATTAGGCCGCACAGGCTCGTGGGCTCGAGGGCTACGTACGCGCCTCGGGAGACGACGTGCGCGGCGTCATTCCCGGGCGGCCGCGAGTAGCGTTCTGCCCAGGGCAGCCTCCGGCCTCTCCCCAGTTGTTTCACCCGCTCTCCCGGCCTCTGCCTGCTTCCCTCTCCTGTTGCGGGTTCTACGGGAGTGACTCCGCTCTCTCAGTGGATCAAATGGAACAGACTGGCCCAGCGACCGCTTGGGGACCCTCTACCCCGCCTAGGAAATGACCACAATGTGCACCGGGGGAAGCTCTGTGTAAGGCCTGGCCCGGCGCCCGAGCCTTGCCCTGGCTGTCGTGCGGCATGTCACCTCGGCCGGCAGATGTGCGTCGCTGCCCCGCGCAGACAGCTCAGGCTCGGGCCTGTCCGCGGAGTTGGGCCGGGTTCGGTCCCCCTTGTCTGCAGGGGACAGCCGAAGTCAAAGGAGCAGGCTCAGAGCTGGAGACTGGCAATGGGCTCTCAGACATCTGCACCCCTCCGGCCTCAGCCCCCTCACCTGCCTGCAGGGCTCAGAAGAGGACCCCAGGAGAGGCAGGTCCACTGCTCCATATTTGGGGGTTCGGCCAGCCCTTAGCTCCCCATGCGCTGGTGAGAGCAGCTCCACCAACACCACAGCAACAATGGGCGGCCACTGTGGAGCCGCAGGCCACCCCTCGCCCACACGGAGGCATGCTCTGGTTTGCAGACAAGAGGTCTGAGTTCAAAGGAGTCGAGAATGCTGAGGGGACAGCTGGCCTATGGTCTGATGCCCAGAACTCAGAACCGCCAGCGGGGAGAACCAGGGTGAACTCGAGTTGTGCGAGTGTGGCGGAGCTCCCGCTGACACGCATAGGAGAAGGGCCCCAGAGTTAAGTCCCGGGTCTGAGTTCCAGTTCTGCCACATGTGTGTGTGCTGGTGGCCTGGTCCTCTCAGCTTCGAGGCCCTGCATGGCGCCCCAGGCCTGCCTCTGTGCTCGGGCGGCACGTCCACAAGCTGGGGCTGTGGGTGTGCTCTGGGCAGGGATCTCAACGGAAGCCTGCAAAGCGCCCCGGCCCCAGCACGGGCAGGAAGGGTGAGTCCAGGGGCCCCTGCCAGTGTGAACACGCACACAAACACACACACACTCACACACGCAGACAACGGCCCTCGCTGCCCACGAAGGAGACAGAAAAGAACAGAAGTGACGAGAACTGTGTCACGGTCATGAAATAAAGGTCGGCCAGAAAAAGAACCCTGGAGCAGCCCACATGCCCGAGGAGAAGTTCCAGAAAAATGAAAAGAAATATAAGAAAGATGAGGTAGCCGAAACCGGTTTGGCTCAGTGGATAGAGAGCATCAGCCTGCGGACTGAGGGCTCCCAGGTTCGATTCCGGTCAAGGGCATGTACAGTGGTGCCTCACACAACGAACTTAATTCGTTCCAGGGGCAAGTTTGTTATGCGAAAAGTTCGTTATGTGAAACGCATTTTCCCATAACAATACATGCTAAAAAAAATAATTCGTTCTGTAGCATAAAATATGCTAAGATGACATAAAAAAAGATAAATTTTTTTGTTATTATTTTTATTTAGATACATCATGATATAAAAAAAATATTGAGTTTAACTTAAAAGGACGACTGCCGTGATACGTGCGTGATTTAATTCGTAATGAAGAACGATTGCCGCGATACGTGCTTAAGTTAAGCGCAGTGACTAACGACTGCCTGCAGTGCCTGCGCGGAAGGATGCAATACATTGGCAGGGATCGTGGAAGCTCGGGCAAAGCGGTCGTGGAAGCCTGGGCGACTTCGTTGTGTGAAACGAAGTTCGTTGTATGAATCATGAAATGAAGTTCGTTGTGTGCAGCGTTCGCTGTGCGAGGCGTTCTTTATGCGAGGCACCACTGTATCTTGGTTGCGGGCACGTCCCCAGTGGGGAGTGTGCAGAGGCAGCTGATTGATGTTTCTAACTCTCTATCCCTCTCTCTTCCTCTCTGTTAAAAATCAATAAAAAAAAAAATAAATAAATAAAAATAAAAAGATGCTAAGTGGCTGGAGCGGGAGGAGAAGCCACAGGGAGAGGGATGTCGGAAGAAGCAGATGTCGCTGGACATGGTATGCACAGAGTCACACCTTGGATGGCCGGGCACACAGGCCCACAGTCAGTGGGGAATGGCCCATCCTGGTCTTTGGGCTCAGGCTCAGGAAGACCCATATGGGCTCGGGAGTCACCCAGCAAGTCTGCTTGGGTCAGGAGGGGAAGGAAGGGCTCGGGGGGGAACGTGGCAGCCCTGAGACTGAGCTGGGTGCCGTGGGAGGGAGCGTGGGGAAAGGAGAGCAAGGAGCCGTGGCCCCAGGACCAGCACAGCCCAGTGGCCTGTGCCCAGAGCCTCCTGCAGGCGCCGGAGTGCTTTCCATCTGGCACTCAACCGCAACTTTTGTTTCCAGAAGGAAAAATGTTGGTTTGAGCAAGCGTGGCCACCCAGACGGCCAAGGGGGGCAGGAGCACGTCCTCCCCCGGCACTGTCTGGGCACAGCCCAGCGATGCTTTTCCAGGGCCTCGTCCAGGCAGATTCCAGGTGGGAACATGGAAAAGAACCATTTTCCCAGGATGCGCGAGGTCCTAGGACTGGCTGCTCCTGAAAAACACAGATGCTGCCAGAGCTGGGAGCCAGTAGGTGGGATAAAAAAGCCTCAAGCAGAAGGCAGGAGTGGTCTTAGGGACCAGGCCTGGGAGAGGAGGGTGGGGGGTGGAGGGTGAGGGCAGGAGGAGGGATGAGAGCAGCCAGAAGTCCCAGGGTGGCCGAGGTGGAAGCCAGCACACAGCACCCGGCCCCGGTGGGAGCTGGCTCGGCCCTGGGCCGGCTGGCTCTGGGTGTGCAGGCAGGGGGAAGGCTGGCTGCCCGGCTCCTGCCCTCCCGAAGGAAACACACCTCTCTCCTTTCACATTAATAAAACCTTTAACAGGTTTTTGGCAAATTGGCAAGAAAAGTGCATGTAGCTCCTAATTGGTGATTTAAATGCCATCATGAACAAATAAATGCCTGTTCCTATCTCGTTATTTATGAACTGAACCTGCTTGCAGACAAACGGCTCCTCTTGGGCAGGGGGCCAAGCCTCCCGTGTGCACAGGCCGCAGGTCCCTGCCCAGCGCTGCCAGCGGGCAGACTCCCGGGGAGAACACGGGAGTGGGCGGCGGACAGGGGCTCCCGCTCCCTCCCCTGACCCGCTCCACCCAGGCGGGACCCCACCTCTCCTCCAGCCAATCCCCGCTCCTGGGTTTCCCCCCCATTTCCCTTCAGCTCCCTCACAGCCACACCCTCCTCCCCTCCCAGGCTTCCTGCTCTCTGCCCCACGTGCTGGGCGCTGCTTCCTGTGGGGGACTCTGCCTGCTCTGTCCCCCGGCTGTGGACACCACTGTGCAGTCCTTGCCACTGCCAACCACCGCTGGCCGCGCTGGCATGGGCACCATCTGACGGTGACCTCTAGGCTCTGTCACACCCACCCCACCCTCCAGCCCCATCCTCTGACACTCCCCTAATTGCCGGTGTCCCTCTACACTGCAGTCACCACCCAGTGCCAGCCCTGACCCCCCCAGACCCAACCCTACCCGAGGCCTCTCACACCAGGGTCCGGTCCAGGGTCCCGTACTGCCCCTCCCCTGCCGCCCTGGCTCCCAGATCCCACGGCAACTTCACCAAGGCCTTGGTCTGCTTTCCACCACCTCCTGCTGGTCTGCTGGGGACTTCCCCGCACACGTGCCTGTTCCGAAGTCCTCTGAGGACCTGTCTGGGTGGCCTCCCCAGTTCCCCTGAATGCCTCAGGCCTTGCCCCTCGTCCCTCTGCAGTGCGCTGGGTGCCTGGTCCTCCCAGAGTCACCCTGTGGGCCTCCTTCCTGACTGTCGCCACCAGGAACAGCTCCCAGGTGCCCAGAGGAAGGCCCATCCCGAGGCCCCTGGAGCTGCACCCAGCAGTCAGACCCAGACCTCCCACAGCTCACCGGGTCCTGTGGAGAGCAGCGCTCCTGCAGCCCAACGCTAAGGTTGCCCACGCCCATGCCCACGTAGGGAAAATGAGTCTCCGGCGACCCGTGAACAGGGCTGGGCAGGCTGGCGCTCACCTCGTCGCTGCCTCTCCCGGGTACAGCCAGCATCCAGCGCTGCTGACCCCGGGCCAGGATGGAGCCCCTGCAGAAGCCCACGCTCTCCAGGTCCACAGAGTCCACCACGGCGTTCCTGCCCTCCGCCAGGTCCCACAGGCACAGCTTCAGGTCTCGGCCCTGACTGCCAAAACCAAGGAGAGACCGGCCGTGAGCCTCCCAGGTGAGCCGTCTGCACGTCCCGCCTGGACAGATGCCGGCGTGCTGGGGCCGGCCTGAGGCGCAAGGCCGGCAGGGGCCCTGCCGAGGGGACCCCGGCTGCCGCCGCATCATCGGCTGGGGGGCCCTGGCGCCCACAGGAGTCTGTCCGGGCTGCTGATCACGCCTGAGCGTCGGGGGAACTGAGAATCGCGCGGCTCTCTGAAGGAGCGGGCTGACCCTGGGCTCTGCTGGGCTGTGAGGGAGCCGGACGTGGCAGTGACCTCCACACAAGGACGAGCCCGAGCCTAATGCAGGAGAGACGTGCTCACACACGGAGGGGCATCTGACTCACGGCCAAGACGGCAGCCAGGCCGTAAGCAAGGACCGGCCTGTTTTTAAGGAGCTTTTTATTCTGAATTTGTGTCGAACGCACAGGACAGTTGTGAGAACAGCGGGAAGGCCTCCCACGCCTCCTTTGCCCGCCACCTAATTGCTAACGCCGCTGCGTACACCCTGTTCTGGCCCGACGCCCATCACCCCAGATGATCCGCGCACGGGGACAGCCACACCCAGAGCTCCTTGGCCCAGGGGGGAGGGGGGGGGCACACCTCGCTGCACCGGGACCAGTGCAGCCTGGTGCTCCCAGGCAGCCCAGTGTGCTCGAACGTTCTATCCGTGGGTGCAGGATCCCCCGGAGGCCTGGCTGAGAGCCTTCCTCCATCATATCTGCAGCGGGTGGACAACTCAGACCTCCATCCACAGCAGGACAGAAGTCACCGGGGTGCACACATCCAGGCGACGCCCCCCCGGAGAAGCCCGCGCAGTGCACTGCGGCCACGTGCACCGAGGGGGATCCCGCAAAGACAGAGCTCAGTGCAAATGTCAGATGCGCAGGAAGCTGCTCTGGGGGACCCCACTTTCTTAAGTAAAGAACAATAACAACAACAAAAACCAGACAAAACGAGCCTTTGCCTTTTGGAGATGCGCGTGCCGGTGGCAAACACACGTGAGGCGGGAGGGGCTGCCTCCGGGGACAGGCAGGGAGCGGGCTGCAGAGTCCGCGTCCTGCTGGGCCGCTTACACAGGTGGCCACTCTGGGACCGCGCAGCAGTCTGCAAACTTGTTCTCCGCGCTCTCCGGTGAGTGTGCTTCACCTCACAGTGAGTGAGAGGCGGGAAACACACCCGCCCAGGTGTGTCCTCGAGTCCGTCGGTGGGGCCGGGGGTGTCCGTGGAGCCGCCCCCGGGCTCCCGGGAGCCCCTTGCAGAGGCTGGTGCGGGCCGGGGCCTCTGGCTCCTCGCTTTCCGTCCTCCAGACTCTCCTCGACATGAAAGCTCACTCTCCGCCCTCAAGAGCCACTTGGGAGGGACTTGACTTGCAAACACAGCTGGGCGCACAGCCTCTCGTGCAACGTAAACGCACCTGCGCATTCCAAGCGGCTGCAGGGTCTGCGCTGCGGGCCTCCTCACCGCAGGCCCAGCCTGGAGGGGGGCTGCCGCGGGGCCATCGGGACCAGAAGGAGGGGTGCCATCCTTACAGGCTACAGCGGGAGCTGTCCACCCCGCACCGCGCTGGCCCAGATCTCCATGGCCTGAAGCATCAGAGCAAGGTGTCATGTCCCCTCTCGGCCAGGGGTCCCCAGAAGACGGCCAAGGTGCCTGGGCCCCAGAGAGCAGGAGGCCCGGAGGGCCTACACCCCAGCGGAAAGTTCTGCAGGAGCATTTATAAATGGCGGCTCCTGGTACAAGTGCCTCAGGGGGGTATTCAGACAAGACACCTACTCTATTCAGGGAAAGACGGAGACTGTGAGGGTCCGTTGTACCAAGTGTGGGCGGTGACATCGGGGCCAGCCTGGCCAGGGACCCCAGCTCCCACCACTGGGAGCTGCAGCAGGCCAGGCGGGCTCTGCTCAGCCGCCGGCGATGGGGCTACGGACAGAGCCGTCCTCTACGTTCATTCGGCCCTTCTCAGTGAGCACAGCGGGACAGCACCCAGCACCCCCAGGCGCTCTGCCTCAGGATGAGCTGAGAGCAGAGGTCACGCCCTATCCTGCCCCTGGGGGTGGGGCAGCCTGAGTGGCTAGGGGAGGCTGCACAGCCCGGCTCCTTTGGGACTGCCACTGAGACCTACCTGAGGAGCTGGGGTCCCTGGGGCAGTGTCTGCAGCCAGATCACACACTGACCCCCGTGCCCGTCCAGGGTGGCGATGGCCCTCCGCGTCTGCAGGCTCCAGATGTGCACCAGCCCGCTCAGGGACCTGTCCAGAAGAGGGCAGGGCAGGGTGGGGAGGAGGTGTCGGAGGAGGTGGCCGTGCCCCGCCCGCTCCCCAGGGCCAGTCGGGTGGACCGGGGTGGACCGGGGCGGACCGGGGTTCCAGCTGCCTGAGCCTTTAGATTAGGTGCCAGCTCTGAACACGCACTCAGGCTAAAGTGGCACACGCTCTTCCTCCATGGGGACCTCTGAGGGCCCTTAGGCAGAGCCTGCCTCCTGGCAGAGGGCGGGAGGGCTGCCGCTGGCAGTGCAAACTGGGTGGCACCTGTAACAGAACGGGCGTGTGTCCCTGCCTCCCCTAGGGGGTGAGGCCCAAGGGGACAGACAGTATGTCCAGTGGGCTCTCAAAGTGTGTCCGGGGGACAGGCAGCCTGAGCTGCTCAGCAGGACCCCAAACAAACGCCATCTAATTGTCAGCCCCCCAAACCTCTCCCTGGGCCAGCCCCCGTGGCGGGCCAGCAGCAGCTACTCACCCCGAGAGGAGACGCTGGTGCTCCCGCCCCTGGGCTCCTCCACAGAAATGCAGCGCGTGCACCGCCGACTGGGTGCCCCGGAGGACGAACTGGGGGTCCGGCGGGGCTGCCATGCTGGGCAGGGCTGCAGCCCCCTGGGGACCGAGGGGGGGCAGTGAGTGACCCACTGTCCCCCTTCCGAAAGGCAGGGGGAGGCCTCCCTGGATGCTGTCCATCCCGTCTGCCTTCTGCCATGGCCTCTGCAGCCACGTGGGACCACCCCAGGCCCAGCATGGGCACAGCCGTGGCCACAGCCTCCTGTAGCCACGCCTGTCCGGCACAGAGCCCACAGGAACTCCGGGCCGCACCGGCTACACCTCCTGGCTGCCTGGCTCCCCCTGGCCCTGAGCACTGTCCACTCAGGCCAGCCAGGCCCTCCTCGCCCACGCTGCGCAGGGGCCGCCCTGACGGCAGGCCTGGCTGAGTCCTGCTACTGACCAGGCCTCGCTCCAGTTTGTCCCTCGGAGAGCCCACCCCAGCCTCCTCCCCCACCCCCCGAAAAGTCAGGGAGCGCGAGGGCCCTGGGCAGGCTGGCCTGGTGGACAAGGTCCGAGGAGCAGCTGCTGGGCCCTCAGAAACCACGGCTTGTCCGGGCTGTGCCTACCCCGTAAGAGCAGAGAGTCAGCAACGGGCACAGAGTTGCTGGGCCCCGGGGTCAGAGGAACCAAAGGATGCAGAGCCTGCTAAAGCACCCCAACCCAGCAGAAAAGCCCCAATTCAGGACGGGGAGGCACCCGCCACTCAGTCCGCGCCTCAGAGTCCAGCAGGCCACCTCTGCAGGCTCCCACTGTGCGGCCCCGACACGCACACTCCCACCCCGTTCATGCTCCTGTACACACGCACGGGGGCTCACACACGCACACCTACCCATATACACGCACATGCTTATTGACACACACAGGCGTGTGCTCACATGCATGCGCACACACATACACAGGCGGTGCCAGCTGAAGCCCAGCCCACACTGGCCACCTGCCTGGGGCCAGAAAGGAGTTTCCAGAACCTCACCAGCACGAGGCTCGCTCGGAGGTGATGAAATCACGTTCTCCTCCATTGTTTCCCCACAAGCGCAGGGAACAAACCCGTCACGTTGTTGCAACAACCGAAATGCGCAGGCCAACATGATGCATCGGCAATTAAGGGCTCCATCATTTCCAGCAATTAAAATAAATGCTTTATTTGAACACTAATTAATTCTACCTACATATTTTTCCCATGACAATATCCTGCGATGGCTTGATTTATGACATCTAATTATTCTTTATTAATCTAATTGAGAATAATCGCATTATCCTATCTCCCCTGGCAGCGCGGCCCGGAGCGGAGGCCGCAGCCTTGCGCAAGGCTGACGTGCGACGTGGCCCCCGCCGGCGTCACCGCCTCCGGTCCCTGTCCCATCACTGTCTCTCCCTCCCGGAGGGCAAAGGAACACGAAACTCAATCCGCCGAGCACAACTTCGCATTCTGCCTGCTCTTCGAGATGGCAAAGCGAGATGCACATTCTTTCAAAAATTAAAAAGGAAAGACAACCTGACACAATTTGCACAACTCTGACAGCCACTCTAACCGAGGTTACACATGCCCCCAAAAGCCCGGAGCCCTCAGCCCTCAGATGAGCAATGACAACATCCCCTGTGTCCCCTCAGTGGCTCCAGCCTGGCAGGCTTATGTCCAGAAGAGGAGAAGGGAGCCTCTGCTGCCCGCGCATATGCCCAGCTGCAGCCTGCGGCCCCTCCTGCAGGCCTCTGCCCTAGGCCTGGAACCCCCTCCAAGCCTGGCATCAACCCCCTGGCCAAGGCTTCTTCCCGGAGGAAGCCTGTCTGTCCGGTTCCCGGTTTCTCGGGTGACTGGGGCTGCCATGGTGGTGGGTATGGGGATAGAGCATCAGCACTGGGGAGTGAAAGGTCCCGGGTTCAATTCCGGTCAAGGGCACGTGCCCAGGTTGCGGCTTGATTCCCAGTAGGGGGCGTGCAGGAGGCAGCCAATCAATGATTATCTCTCATCATTGATGTTTCTCTCTCTCTCTCTCTCTCTCTCCCTCTCCCTTCCTCTCTGAAATCAATAAAAGTATATTTATTTGTTTTTAAAAATATATATTTTATTGATTTTTTACAGAGAGGAAGAGAGAAGGATAGAGAGCTAGAAACATCAATGAGAGAGAATCATTGATCAGCTGCCTCTTGCACACCCCCCACTGGGGATGTACCCGCAACCAAGGTACTTGCCCTTGACAGGAATCGAACCCTGGACCTTTCAGTCCCCAGGCCGACGCTCTATCCAATGAGCCAAACCAGTTTCAGCAATAAAAGTATATTTAAAAAGAAAAAAGAAAAAAACTAATAAAAATAAATAAGGAAGCATGGCACCATGCGTGAGAGCCATGAGAAACAACAGGGAGCAGAGCTAGGCCTCCAGAGCAGAGCATTCAGGTATATTGAAAATAAGAATGCTTGATGGTTTTAAAGAAAAAGAAGGAGCTAAAACGACAAGCAGAGAGCAAAAGGCTATAAAAATCACCAATCAGATCTGAAAAAGGACCCAACTGGTTAAAAAGGTTACTGGGAAACAGGTGATTTGCATACAGCCAAGGCATTACTCTTCTGATTATTAACTAATCACAAAAGGAAAAGATCCCTTTACAATGGAGGCATCTGGCTGTCACCACCTTCACCATCTGATCAAAACTGGCACTGCCAATCGTAAACACACTGACATCACCGATCGCCCGGGGCGAGGCAAGAAGACGTGGCACCATCCTCGCACGGCCATGCCAGAGCGTGCAGGAAACAGGCAGACACAGCCAGGTTACGGGACTAGGCAACGAGCGTGGACTTATCCAAAGGTCACGGTCAAGAAAAACAACAAGAGCAAAAGCCGGGCAACTCTTGTAAATTAACCATCACGATCAAATGCAGCACAAGAATCATGATTAGATCCTGGGTCAAAAAGGGGGAACCCGAGAAGCTTTAACCAGGAATGTACACTGATGACACTCTGAACTTAATGGACAATGGAGACCACATGTATCTTGGTTATTGTGCCTAGTACCTTGTAGATCCTCAGGAAATTTTTATTTTATAACCAAAGATAGAACACGTATTTGTTTGAAATAATGATTAATTAAAATATTTAAAAAAAAAGGGGGGGGCGGGGACCCACACGCCGGTTCGATTCCCAGTCAGGGCACATGCCCAGGTTGCAGGCTCGATGCCCAGTAGGGGGCAGCCAATGGATGATGTTCCTCTCTCTCACAGAGGTTTCTATCTCTCTATCCCTCTCCCTTCCTCTCTCTAAAAGTAAAAACAAAACAAAAACAAAAAGAAAACAAACAAACAACAACAACAAAAAACATTAAAAAAGGAGAGGACCCACAGAGAAATTGCTTGGGACAACGGAGGAAATCCAAAGATGGACTGCAGGTAATGGGGAATTTTGTTCATTTTCTCGGGAAGGGTGATGGTGTTTTATGGAGAAGACTGTCTTTATTCCTATGCTACAGTATTTTTAAAGTGAAATGTCATGATGTCTGCAATCTGTTGCAAATGCTTCAGGGGGAAAAAATTTCTTTATTTCTATGTACATTTAAATATATAGGCAGAGCGGTAAAGTAAATGTGGGAAAATGTTAACAATTGGTGATCACAGGTGAAGGATACCTAGGTATTCATTATATACTATGCTTATAACATTTCTGCAGGTTTAACAATATAAAAGCACATTAGAGGAGGGGGAAGCATAAAAATCACACACATCAATATCGTAAAAAAGCCCTGGACAGTGTTGCCCAGTAGTTAGAGCACCAGTCTGAACACCACAGGGTCGTGGGTTCGATTCCCAATCAAGGGCACATACCTGGGTTGCAGATTCAATCCCTGGCCCTAGTTGGGGCTCATGCAGGAGGCAACCAATCAATGTGTCTCTCTCACTTCAATGTTTCTCCCCGTCCCCCCTTCTGGCTCTCCTTCTCTCCCCCTCCCTTCCACCCTTCTTTCCTTCCACTCTAAAAAAAAAAAAAAAACCAATAGTGGAAAAATAAAAAAAAACTTAAATACCATAAAAAAAAAGCAAACACCAAAAAAGAAAAATGATCAAACGACTTGAGCAGATATTTCACAAGAAACAAAAGTGGCTGATAAACATATGTTTAACCTAATTAATAATCTTAGACATGCCTGTCAAAACTGCCATGCGACGTAACTACACTTCCAGCAAATCAGTAAAAAATTAAACAGTCTGTCAAATGTTGACCAAGATGTGGGACAACTGGAACCCCTTACCAAGCCAGAGGGAGCATAAGCTGACACAATCCGTTTGGAAAACAACCTGGAAAAACAATCTATATTTCGCACACTATGTGACTCAGCAACCCCACTCTTAGATAAACATCCTACAGAAATTCTCACACACGCACACAAAGAAATTTGTGCAGGAGTGCTTACAGCGGTATTGTGTACAGTTAAAGAAAACAACACAAAAAACCCAGAAACAATCCAAACGGCCGTCATCTGCTGAATGTGATAATTGTGGAGCGTTCCTACAATAGAATATTCCTACGAAGTGGAAAATGGATCAACTCCAACCTCACAGGGATGAAGCTCAATATCACAATCTCTGCGAGAGGCAGTGAAGAATCAAAACCAGGCTACACAACAACAACAACAACAACAACAACAACAAAAAGGCTACAGACAGGGGGAAATATATACAGTCACACAATATATCTGATAAAGAACTCATACTCAGAATGTAAAAACCAATAAGAAACAAAATGTTAAAGTTGTTCCAAAAGGCTGGAATTAGATAGACAGTTATACCAGGCAAGTGGAAACAATAAGAAAGCAGAGATTGCCGGGACCGGTTTGGCTCAATGGATAGAGCGTCGGCTTGGGGACTGAAGGGTCCCGGGTTCGATTCCGGTCAAGGGCAAGTACCTTGGTTGCGGGCATATCCCCGGTGGGGGGTGTGCAAGAGGCAGCTGATCGATGACTCTCTCTCATCGATGTTACTAACTCTCTGTCTCTCTCCCTTCCTTTCTGTACAAAATCAATAAAAAATATATTAAAAAAAAAAAAAAAAGAAAGAAAGCGGAGATTGAA